CCGCGCGGCGCAGGCTTGGGCATTGCACCTTCAGGGTCAGCCCTCGCCCCCGCGTCTTTCGCCTGGCTCTGCCGCTCCTGCTTTCTCCGCGCAGATCTGGGCAGCTGGCCCGACAGCGCGGCGGGAAATGCAATCTTCTCCTAGGGGCGTCGTTTATTTCGGTGCTCGCGCACCGTGATGAGGGCAACTCTAGTTGCTGGCTTGACCAGCCGTCCTGCCCTAATTGTCTGGGCTGGCTCTCTACCTTGATGTTGATGTCAAAAAAAAATCCTCCTCCTTCTCCTCCTCCTCCTCCTCCTCCTCAATCGGACACGTCCCTCTACAGGAGGAATCTTCAAAAATAGTCATAACAAAAGAGTCAGGGAACGGTTGTTTGGTTCGAAGAAAGACGGTTTGTTTATTTGTCACGGTTTCATTCTTTCTTCCAGAATCCGTCAAGTCTCGAGTCGGGCACATTCGGGCACGCCCCTGTGATTACAGGAGGAATATTCAAAAACAGCCAGAAATAGTCTAGGGACGATTCCCTTTGGGAACAACATATTATTTCCCAACCATCCTGTGGTGTTGGGTCCTCGTTTTGAAGAGACACGCCCCGCTCCTCCTCCCGTCTCCTCCCTCCTCCATGCGCCTCACCCACCCAGCACAGCGCTCCGCGGCCCCATAAGGAGCTCCACGTAAGGCCCCACGGGGGGGGGACCACATGCGCCCGCCACACCCAGTGCGGCGTCTCGTGGCCCCATAGGGAGCTCCACCTGATGCCCCAGGGGGGGGGGGGGGACCACATGCGTCCGCCACACCCAGTACGGCGCTTCGTGGCCCCATAGGGAGGAGCTCCACCTAAGGCCCCAGAGGGGGGGAGGTACCACATGCGTCCGCCACTCCCATTACGGCGTTTCGCGGCCCCATCGGGAACTCAATTGAAGGCCCCAGGTGGGGTACCACATGCGTCCGCCACACCCAGTACAGTGTTTCTTTGCCCCATAAGGAGCTCCACCTAACGCCCCAGGGTGGGGGTACCACGTGCGTCTGCCACACCCAGTACAGCGCTCTGAGGCCCGATAGGGAGCCCCACCGAAGGCCCCAGTGTGGGTGGCCACGTGCGTCCGCCACACCCAGTACAGCGTTTCGTGGCCCCATAGGGAGCTCCATCGGAGGACTTACTAGAGGTGGCCACATGCTTTCGCCACACGCAGCACAGCGTTTCATGGCCAGTGGGACCGTCCGCATGCGTCGTGCACATTCAATTTCGAATTGTCAAAAACCCAGTACAGTGTTTCGTGCCCCGATAGGGAGCTCCACAGAAGCCCCCAGTGCGACCGCCCGCATGCGTCCCGCACGCGCAATTTGACAGTTTCACCCACCCAGTACATTGTTTCGTGGCCTCACTAGAGAGCTCCACCGAAGCCCCCAGTGGGACCGCCCACATGCGTCCCACACATCCAATTTGGCAGTTTCACCCACCCAGTACAGCGTTTCGTTGCCTCAATAGAGAGCTGCACCGAAACCCCCAGTGGGACCGCCCACATGCGCCCCACACATCCAATTTTGCAGTTTCACCCACCTAGTACAGCGTTTCGTGGCCCCATATAGGAAGCTCCACCGAAACCCCCAGTGGGACCGTCCCCGTGCGTCCCACACACCTAATTTGGCATTTTCACCCGCCCAGTATGGCGCTTCGTGGCTCCATTAGGAGCTCCACCGAAACCCCCAGTGGGACCGTCCGCATGCGTCCCGGAAACACAATTTGGCATTTTTGCAAACCCAATACACCGCTTCGTGGCGCCACAGGGAGCTCCACCGAAGCCCCTAGTGGGACCGGACCGTCCGTATGCGCCCCGGAAGCCCAATTTGGCATTTGCACACGCCCAGTACACCCCCTCGTGGCCCCATAGGGAGCTCCACCGAAGCCCCCAGTGGGACCGTCCGCGTGCGTCCCACACACCCGATTTGGCATTTTCGCCCACCCAGTACAGCGCTTCATGGCCCCACAGGGAGCTCCACCGACGGCCCCAGTGCTACCGCACGCATGCGTCCCCCCCCTACCCAGTGCAGCGCTTCGTGGCCCCATACGGAGGTTCACCGAAGAATAATTAACAACTGCGGTACCCACAGTTGCATATGGTTGGATCCTTCGCCAGGATAATTTCCCCGACCATCGAGTGGTGCGGGTCTTCGTTTTGAAAAGACGGTCCCCGCGTCTCCTTCTTCCTCCCTCGTCCCTTCTCCCTCCTCCCCCTCCCCCTCTTTCTTCCCCCCTGCGCTTCGTGGCCCCATAGGGAGCTCCACCTAAGGCCACAGTGGGGGTGGCCACATGCGTCCGCCACACCCAGTACGCCCCTGACACGCTTCGTGGCCCGTTAGGGCCCCGCCATTCCCAGTGTCCACAGTCTTATGCATTCACACTCGGCGTATCCATGCTCGCATTCATGCACATAGACTTACTCACACGCAGCCTCAATCACAATTAGACGCGGTCGTGCTCAGTCTCACCCGCGCCCAGTCCCCCGTGCTCAGGCCTATCGTTTCCGTTCTTGTTGTGTACCCCGCCACACATGTCGGCACACCCCTCGCACGGTTCGTGGCCCCATAGGGATCGCCACCGAAGAAGATATTCAGAATTGCGGTACTCGCAACGGCAGATGGTTGCGTCCTTCGCCAGGATAATCCAATATTTGTTGTGCGTTGTTCCTTTCAGGATCCGCCTGTAGGAGGACATGCCCGACCTGTGGCAAGTTTCGAAGACACCAGACAGGCACGATATAAATTGTCGGCGCTGCGCGCGGATTTGTTGAATCTGCGCTGGGACACCCTGGCGGCATCTCCGGCGCCGCCTGAGGCGCGCTCTGCGCGCCACGGAGGGGGATCCAGTGCCGATCCAAGAAACCCGCGCTGGCCGTCGAAAGTTTACGTTTCTGCAGTTTGTTTTGTCGATCTAAAGTTGTCACCCCATGGTTCTCAGTGAGAAACCCGGGGGGGGATACGTCCCCCACCCTGCCAAGTCGATCGGCGAGTTGCCCTTCCTGTTCAGGACCTCCTGCAGGGCTCTTCGGCCGCACGTTGCCCGGGTCTGCGCCTGGCGGTACTGGTCCCGGGTCGTCTTCTCAGAAGGGCGTTTTGCTTAAGGGGGCTCTACCCAGACGTGCGACGTCTTCATTTTTTCGGGACGGCGTCCCTGGAAGTCCCGACCCTTTCCCCGGGACCGGTTTTTCGCCCTGAGTCGTTTTTGGATGGTCCCGAGGCCCGGCGAGGGCTCCCCGGGAGCGAAAATTGCCAAACATCTCCCGTCCTGGTTTTTGTTCACGACGCGATCATGTCTGGGTGTTCACCCCCGAAGAAACGCAGAAACGCCTGGCGAGCGGGCGGTATGAAAGCGGGCAGGCTCGAGGCGAGCGCAGTGGCCATGTGCTCAGCTAGAGCCCAGACTCTCTCTGACATCCTGTGGCTGTACGGCGGGCTCGCGCCCCACCAGCGCGGCGATGACTCCAGCGCGGGCGCTCGAGGTTGAGCGCTCGCCAGTGGCCCCAAAACGGCCAATGTCGATTGTTCGAGCTATTTCAGTCCTGAGCGATCCACGCGGTGTCAGAAGCCTGACGCGCAGGCCGTCACGACACCAACCTCGCCGTGCTTGCTCAGTCTCACATCATGCGCACCCTTCCTTCTTTGCCCCTCGACTCGCGCCCCCATCTCAGAAACGAGAAGTTCTGATCATAGTCTCACATGCTGCCACAGTTCCAGCATTATATGGCCTGTGTTTCTCCGCGGGGCCTCCAGCGATGACGGCCGCTAGAAACTCCGGAATCCCTGGAACGCATCCCGAGCCAATCGTCCGGCCCTCCCCTCCTCT